GGGAGGTTGCCGCGGCCCCGCGAAGGCGGCTCGGGCAGGGCACAGGGAACGCGGAACGAGGGCTGGGGCGCCGGGGGTGCGGGGAGGTGAGACCGAGCGTCTCCGTGCTTCGCAGGGCAGTTACTGATGGGTTCCGGTTGCTGCCCTGCTTGAGCGATACTTGGTTTCGCTTTACTCCGATAAGGATCTTGTGATGTTTTCAGGGAAAGCCAAGGAGTTAGTTCCTTACATATTACAGGTTTGTGGAAAATCATGACATAAAATGTGCTGAACAACTGTTTCTTCAGTTGGCTTTGTCAGTCTTCACTATGATTTTTCTTTTCAAATGTATTGCGTATATTTTCAGCCTGCAGCGAATTCTTGTAAAGAGCCTTTCTAGACGAAGTATCAGTAATTGCTGTTTGCTGTCACCTTCATGTGCATTTATGAAATTTTTTACTTTTTAAATTTAGATTATGTGGATAAGCCTCTGGAAAAGCCTTTAAAGCTCGTACTTAAGGTTGGAGGAAGTGAAGTGACTGAACTTTCTGGGTCAGGGCATGATTCAAGTTACTATGATGACAGATCAGATCATGAGCGAGAACGACATAAAGAAAAGAAGAAAAAAAAGAAAAAAAAATCTGAAAAGGAAAAAGAAAAGCATCTAGATGATGAGGAAAGAAGGAAGAGAAAGGTAAGCTGTGGTTTTCAGAATTCAGACATATCAGCCTCTTTTGTGATTGCTTATCAGATCTAAAAATCTGGTGCAGAGTACCAGAACGTTTGTTGTTTTGTTGGTTTTTTTTTTTAATCACTGTTGCAAGAAGCTTATTGTTTGGAGACAGCACTTCACAAATATAGAAAATCCCTGTGTGTGTGTTGGTGTATTTCTCCCATTTAAAAGAGATATCTCTGTGATGATTTTTTTGATCAAAAAGCTTGTTTCTTGTAACTGCTTGTTTTTCTTATCTGTTTGCTTTGTCTGTAGGTACATATACTTCCTTTTTTAAGTTGGATGTTTTGTATTTCAACCAGGTCAAAACCATGTTTTGCTACCCTTTGAGGAGGGTATTTTCAGCTTTTCAAATAACTCTAGAATGCATTTGTGTTTCTGTGATATGCCATGTTATTAGACATTGAGATTTATATGTTTACTCAAAACAGCTTTCTGAAATCTGATTTGTTGAGTACTGTGGTACCACAGCCTTGCTGGCTCTTGTTTAAAGTAACCTGCATGCTAGGCTTTGTGGCTTTGTTAGTAGCAGATGGTGTGGTCACCTTAGTTGTCTGTGCAGAACTTTTAGGAATTAGATTGAAATCAGCAAGAAGGCGTTGAGGGTGCAATTACCTGTACAATTTCATTTTAATAGTATTTCTTTTATGTACTAATGATTTTCTGACATCTATGCTTTTTTAATTCTTTTCTGTCATGTAGTTTTACTGTTCTCATATGGCAGTTTTTGGGTGCTGCTTTGTATGTGTGTGGCTAACATCTGTCATTTCGAGTTGATTTACTTGAAAGCATTGTATCTTGTAGGATCGCTCACAAGCTCTTGAATATAGGGCAGATAGTGGAAAATTTTCTTTCTACAAACATTTTCAAACGTCTCGGTTAAGAGTATGGCTAGGACTGAAACGTAGCAAAACAACTGTCTTTAATACAAGATCTTGCAGCATCAGATAAATTATTTGTTTTGCCTTTGCTAAATTGGGGGAAGTGTTTGGATTTTTTTTTTCTCAGAACTTTGTTATTAGTGCATGCAAAAGAAGCTAACAGATAGATAAGTAACAAAACTGTAGTCTAAACAAGGTTAATGAAAGTATGCTTTTCTGTGCAAACATGAATAATGACTGTAAGATTCTAGGAATGACTTAAGCATGGCTTTGCTTTGAAATGCAGGAAGAGATCATTAATTGCCACCACTGTTACAGAGCATTTCTGCTGGTTCATTGGTAGGCTTCCTAAATTATCACGTACTTTATTGATTCCTGTTTAATGCAGCAAACAACAAAAACAACAAAAAATCGATCAAAGCAGGGCTACAGACTGATCTTTACTGAATAGTAAATTAACTTCCTTTACTCTCTAGTGTGGCTTATTGTCATGCAATTTTACATATAAATGGCTTCAGAGTTTAGCATTCTTTTCAGTAAAAGTACAGTAACTAATGATAGAACAATAGTACATTAAATACAAAGAAGCAAAAGATGAACAGTATTAGTTTTAGAGAAGAAAATTGAAAAAGTGAGTGAAAATGTATGTGCTATTGTTTAAACTATAATATGGCTTAGATATAGAATGAGAATTTCAAACAAAAAATCACTGTCTCTTATGTGAGATTGCACATTGCAAGTATGTTCTTTGAAAATCTGTCTTTTTTCTGCTGTGCTAGGAAGAGAAAAAGAGGAAAAGGGAGAAAGAACAGTGTGACACTGAGGGAGAAGCTGATGACTTTGATCCTGGGAAAAAAGTGGAGGTTGAACCTCCTCCAGATCGCCCTGTCAGAGCATGCAGAACTCAGCCAGGTGAGCAGTGTGAAAAATTAAATCATCTTGAGTGTTTTTAAAAGCATACACAACACCTTCATCAAAGGTACCAAAATGTAAAATTTCGATGAGGATTTGCTGAAATCTAGAGACTTTATTTTTCCAACATGCAGACCTTTCTGCTGTCTGAAAAACCAGTATTCCTCTTGCTGCTTCTAGGTTTTACTAAGTTTTTTTTCATGTGACTGAACTTGCCAAGGACATCTGTCTCTGGGTCCTGTTACTTGGCAGAATAAAGCTTGTATAAAAGTATTATTGCACATAGTGTTCCCCTAATTCTTTCTCCTTAGCATTTCCTCAGCATTTACAGGACAGTGGTCAGAATGTCTGAAACTAGGTTTTGCTTAGTTTAAGGGAAAAAAGTCTTGCAGAGACTGCTTAGCTGTTGTTACAGTCTTTTTTTATAACCTATGTGGAGTTTTAATTTTATTATCTCTATTTTCATAAACAGTATGGCAGTAAGTTGCGATAGGGTTTCTCTAAAGACCATAGTCCCTCCAGTTTTCATTTGCTAATCTTTAATTCTCATCACCAGCCAAAATACTTACCAGTTGCACGTGGTAACTTCTGCATGTTTAATGCCTTCAGAATTTGCCATACTTTCTCTACCTGTTGCCATTGCTACATTAAAACTCAACATTATCTGGTGGAAACTTTACTTAGAAGAATTTTCAAATACATCGTGATCCCAGTAAACGTATGCCTGGAAATGGAACTTAGTAGCAAAAGTTAGTAATATTGTGAGTCTGCCCGTTGACATAATCAGGTAATTTATTGAGGATTTTTCTAATTATCATAGAATCATAGAATAGTTTGGGCTGGAAGGGACCATTAAAGGTCATCTAGTCCAACCCCCCTGCAATGAGCAAGGACATCTTCAACTAGATTGGGTTGCTCAGAGCCCCATCCAGCCTGACCTGGAATGTTTCCAGAGATGGGGCATCTACCACCTCTCTGGGCAACCTGTGCCAGTGTTTCACCACCCTCACTGTCAAAAATGTCTTCTTTATATCTAGTCTAAATCTAACTTCTTTTAGTTTAAAACCATTACCCTGTGTCTTATCACAACAGGCCCTGCTAAAAAGTTTGTCCCCATCTTTCTTATGGGTGCCCTTTAAGTACTGGAAGGCTGCAATAAGGTCTCCTTGGAGCCTTCTCTACTTGAGGCTGAACAACCCCAACTCTCTCAGTCTGTCCTCATAGCAGAGGTGTTCCATTCCTTGAGTTATTTCTGTGGCCTCCTCTGGACCCGCTCCAACAGGGCCATGTCTTTCCTGTGCTGAGGGCTCCAGAGCTGGATGCAGGACTCCAGGTGGGGTCTCACCAGGGTGGAGTAGAGGGACAGAATAACCTCTCTCAACCTGCTGGCCACGCTTCTTTTGATGCAGCGCAGGATGTGGTTGGCCTTCTGGGCTGTGAGCGCACATTGCTGCCTCATGGCCAGCTCTTCGTCCACCAGTATCCCCAAGTCCTTCTCGGCAGGGCTGCTCTCAATTCCTTCATCCCCCAGCCTGTATTGATACTGGGGGTTGCCCTGACCCAGGTGCAGGACCCTGCACTAGGGCTTGTTGAACTTTGGTAAGCTTTGGTAAACAACTTCATCAGCTGTTGTTAAATCTCTTAAATATGAGTGAATTTGTCCACTTGAATAGTATAGTTGGACTATTTGACTGTCCTAGTCCTAAATGTAAGTAATAGTTCTCATGTATAAAAAAAGTTTAAGTGACTGAGGGCTGTGGCAAGAACCTTTATGTCAGAATGCACTAAAAAAATAATTTATGATTTCCAGAAGGCAGAGAAATGACTGAATCTTCTACCTGCTAAAAGAAATAGTAAATGCTTGGACAGTATTTTACACGCTTAACTTTGATTGCATATTAATTTGAGGAATGGTGTCCATCAACTGTCAAGGTGACCTAGTAGAGGTAACTGAAATTTTCTGGTCAAAGCTTTATGTCTCTGGGTAGTCTGGAGGCTCGAGAAATTGACAAGCTGAAAACTGATCTCTATAGTGACACGGCTTCCATTTTCATCTGCTTAGAAAACGTTGTTCGAAAGCGTATCAATTGCTTTACCTGTTCTGGTCAAGAAGGGAAATGTCTCTCCATTATCATGATAAAGAGTTGGAATTTTAATTCTAGATTTCAGCATGCTGCTTTAGTTTTTCAAACTTCACACTAAAGCCAGTCTCTGAAGTATGTGCATGGAACAGGTAATTAACGTGTAGTGTTTATTGCTTAATCTGTACAGGAAGTAAAATTGTAATCAGTACCTCTCTTGCCAGCAAATCTGCATCTGTTTGTCACTCTCTTTGACTGAAAAGATTCAGAGAAGCTAATTGCATGGGTGCTATGGTAAAGAAACCCTTAAAATTGCACGGATAACATGGAAGAATGTGGATTTCCCAATTGCAGTATTGGAGCAATCAAGTTTCACTTTTCTTTTCCTGTAAAAATACATAATGCCTTACTTTCACCATATTAATACATTTTATTACAACTACTGGACTTAGCATCACATCTGATTTATGTCTACTAGTTTTCAATGTGCTTAAAACTCAGTAAATAGTAAAGGAGAAGCAGTAGTTACTGTATGCTTAGAAATCTTACGTGCTTCTGCTTTGAAATCCATGTCTCACTGACCTTCACATCAGTACAGGCTGTACTTATACTTAGGATTTTCTGTCTGGTATTTATATTTTTAAATAAATAAATATACCTATATTCTCTTTCATTGCACTTACCTGTGTTTCTGTTCCAAACTGCAGCTGAAAATGAGAGCACGCCGATCCAGCAATTACTAGAACACTTCCTTCGCCAGCTTCAAAGGTATTAAGTGTATTGTATCTGCACTGTCACTGTGTTGCCAGTGTCTAATGCATATTTATATGTGTTACTTTACAACTTCTTATCCTGGTTTTTTGTTTGAAAATAGTTCCTAAAGACTGGCTGTAATATGTTTGGTAACCTTTGCAACCATGTCAGACCTGGTTTTAAACATCAGTTGAGGAAAATTATTACCAGCTATGCAATTCTAGCTTTTGGCAGGGAAGTGTTTTGGGCAGAGGATACGTCACCATTCTAAATTTATTAAGCATTAATTACTTAGTTTAGGAATTAAAAAACAGTTATGAATTGTAATAGTTTAAAAGCTTGAATTGTTCTCATGAAATTTTGTTTTGTTATGTGTCCTCTGTCAGATACCAAAACAAGTTTATACCTGCTTACTTGATAACGCTCTTAATTTGGAGAGGCTTTTTATTTCATTTTGTATAAGATGTTAACCGTATACCTCATCATTGTTTGTTTTTAAAAAAACACCAACAAAATCAACAAAGAAAATACTTCATTTTCCTTTTTTTATTACATAGCAATAAGCTGAATTTTGAACTCAATCAAAAATATTAAACTCTGTAGTCATTTTTAGAGGACCTCATGAACAAGAAGAACTGAAGAGGCTATTACTCAGTGAAGCCAAAAAACCCATTTGGAGTATAAATACAGACACAGGAAGCATACAAGAAATAATTAAGTAATTAAAGAACTGGCTGAATCTGTTTCAGAAAGTCCACATATGTGTAATCAAAATTCTCTCCTGTACCAGGAAATAATGCCTCTGTTTTATGAGACTGCTTTTAGTGTTTTTTTCTTTTTAAGTAATACTATTCTTTTATTACCATTAATACGGTATAAAACCAATGATCATTTTGTTTGCTGATACAAATCTAAATGTATTGTTTTTGTTTTTAGGAAAGATCCTCATGGGTTTTTTGCTTTTCCAGTCACGGATGCCATCGCTCCTGGATATTCCATGATAATAAAGCACCCCATGGATTTTGGTACGATGAAGGAAAAAATTGCAGCGAATGAATACAAATCAGTCACTGAATTCAAGGTGAATTGATAGAGATTTAGTTATTTCGGAACTCTTTAGTAAGAACCTTAAGATTCTTTTTAACTGTAGAAGCCTTTCTTACATTAGTTATTTTAATGCGAGTTTTTTCAGAACTGAGCACTTTCGTATATTCTGTGTATTAGAATAGGTTTCTTACTTTGTTTTTCATTGTGGAAGCTCTGTGTTTGTCTACAATCTACTACAAATTACTGTGGAAACCAAGAACATGCTCTAAAGGTCTATGGAATTCATGCTGCTGGACATAAACATGAGTAAGACTATCACAAAGACTCAAGTGGTTGAAGAACCTGGAGCACTTTTTTTTTTTTTTTAAATCTAGACCTGGTTAGGTTGTTTAAAAGGTAATTTTGACATGTCTGCAAGAAAACTGTGGCTATAGTGAAGCGTTTTGTATAAGATTCAATATTCAATGATAACTACATATTTTTTATCTTTAGTTATCCCGTTTTCCATATGACTTTCTTTGGAGTGGTCTTTTGGCAGAAACTTACTTGGCAAGTTTATTGGCAACTTGTCTTAGCTATTTTGTGTATTCCTATTGCTGTAATATTTTATTGGATGCATTGTGGTTTTACAGACAGTGCAGTAAGAAATGTTTTCATGGTATTGTCAGCTCCTGGAAGGAAAGGAGTTTTCTTTACCTAATTCCTGAAGTTCTATTAGCTGCCTTCAGTATTATTGTTTTCTAGAGTGGTGTTGATATAACAACAGACTTGGCAGAGAGCATTGGCTTGCTTCTCAGGGTTAATTTCTTCTTTTGAAAGGTCCAGCAAGGTGAACAAAGAATGGCTTATATTTTCCATAGGTGCTTTGACAAAGATTATTTTGTTTTGTTATGTATGCTTTATTTCTCAAAAGGGTAGAGATTTAGTTACAAGCAAGGTTGCAATAGTGTAGAGATTTAGTTACAGGCAAGGTTGCAGTATTGAAACTGGTGGGATAACAACCTAAAAAAAAAAAAAAAAAGATATAATTGCAGTATTGTCTGGACTGCCAGGTTCTTCTTATTCTGAAGGACTTGGTTTCTACTTATACTCTTAAGGAACAGTAAATAGTTGCTAGAAGTCTGTCCATCTTACAGTGACAAAGATGTTGGACTCCCTTTCTAGATATATGAGTATACCTAATTACCCTTAAGCCTTTGTAATTCTGTGTAATACAGAAATGAAGTTGACAGGTTTTTAACCTCTAAAACAAGGCCTCCTCAAGGGTTTGTCTTTAATTTCTGATATACCTATTATAACTAGCTGAGGGTAGTCAGAAGCCAATAAGTAATCTAAGAGTAGAATCAGCAAGAACCATTTGCTGCATTTAAAAGAGGGGAAATTGCTGCAGAAAACTCATCAGTTTTGCTGCCAAAAAAAGAGTCTATTTCAAAGTTGGGCAACCAAAAGGCTCTTCTCTGTCTTTTCTGCAGCACTTGATGTATAGCTCACATGTGTTTCTTTATCTGCTTCTTGGCTCATAGTTTGCTCCTCCATGTCACCTTCTCAATTTCCATTTTTGTGATGGTCTCATTAAGCGAAGGCAGATGGTTTAAATGCCATAGAAAGTCACAGACTACCAATTGTAACTGTTCACCTACTTGCTTAGTATGGGCTTGACAACAACTTCTAAATGATTAGGAGAGCACTGATCTGACATCCCTGTACGGAAACAGGAAATAAAGCAATGTTTTTTTGTTTGGGTTTTGTTTTTGGTTTTGTGGTGGGGGTTTTTTTGTTGGGTTTTTTTGTGGGGTTTTTTTTTTTTTTTTTTTTTTTCAGAATCTAATCAGGATTGCAGTAGGGCAAGGTTATTTTTTGGTAGACACTGGGTGCCAGAGAAAGTCTTTACAAAGACTTCTATGTCCAACTGCAATAGTAACCTTCAAAAATGTTTCTCTCAGCAAATCTGGTCTGTAAACTCAGTGGGTTAACTTTTCAAAGGCATACCATTCTGTTTGCATACACTTTTGCACATAATCAAGTTGTCATAAAATATAGTGGACTCAAGCACAAAAAACATTTGCATTTGTGCCTATGGAATAAGTGGAACCTAATTGCTTGAACAATCATTGTTTAAATATTAAAAAGTTATTAAGAGAGAAAAAAATATTCTTAAATCAGGCAGCAGTTTAATTTGTTAGGATCCAATTTGTGAAGTGCCTACTGCATGATTCTTGGTTATGGATTTGCCAACTTCACATGTTTTCAGAGGCATATAATAATGTCTTTTTAATTCAGTGTTTCATTGAGCTTCTAATAATGCTTTCTATGCTTTAGTCTACAGATTGGTAGCATGTGACTAGAAAAAAGGCACCCTAGAAAAAGCTTTTGCAATCTGCAACAAATTTTTTTGGTTCTGTTTACAGTGGAATGTGTTGCACCTTTGTTTTGGGAACTTCCATCAGTAAAAATTACTTGAAATTATGTATGACAGATAAATTCAAAGGAGAAGACAAAATCAGGCTTGGCTGTTTTGTTCTTTTGTGGCATGTGATGAGCATCTAGAATGCTGTTTCTTACGCTTTGAAGTTTTCTTTTTTTGTTTTTGTTTTAGTGCAAGTGACTTGAAGAAGTGGTCAAATTGCTAGAATTAAAATTACATGTAAGACACTATCTTTCTGATGTTATTGTGTTTCTCAAGTCTGTTCTGATTTAGAAGGTGAGAAAAGCATCAAGAAGTACTTACCTTGGTGCCTCAGTCCTGTTAATTTCTCTGTTTTGTTTTTTTTTTATCCATTTGCATACGGAGGAAATGTTACATTTGGCATTCAGGGAAAAAGGTTTTTTTAATAACCAAGAAGTCAATTGCAAAAAAACCTGAGCATCTTGAAGCAGCAAAAGGGGCTCAAACCCTTGCAGTTCTGTGTTACCTTTTGGCTTGTGTTTACGCCACGAGCCTGCTGCTAAAATATTACTGTGCTCTTTGCAGAGCTGCCATGATGGAATGATACTTCCCAGTAATTTAACAAAGGAGTTTGAAGTGTTAACAGTTCTTTTGTTTTGTATTTTACAGGCAGATTTTAAACTGATGTGTGATAATGCAATGACTTACAACAGACCAGATACTGTTTACTACAAGCTAGCCAAGAAGATACTGCACACAGGCTTTAAGATGATGAGCAAAGTAAGAGACCTATTAAAAACAAAAAGCAGAAAATCTTCGGGGTTTTTTTTTTTAATCATACTTAAAGGGATCATAATTAATAACAATAGTAAATGTTATTTTGTCCATCTGTGATTAATTATAGCAGTTAGCAGCCAGTTAATGCTGCTATATTTAAGGGCTTGATAGCATTCTTGTTATAACCACACCCTTATTTCCTCAACCTTATCTGCACCACTGAAGTCTGTAGGAGCTTTTTCCATTGGCCTCAGTGGAAGCAATTAAGATGCACGTATATAAAACCCAACTGTAAAATACCACTTCTGACTGAAACTTTGTAAACAAGATATTAATTTAAGTTTTATTTCTGCATAAACAAGAAAGCTTTTCTTTTTTAAAGGTGGTGGGCGTAGGGGAGGTTTCAGGGGTTTCAGATGTGCGCGTGCAACATGCTTTTTACTCAAATACAGTTGTTGGCTTGTAAAACAAAGTTATTTTGGTGAGCTGCTCTGTGTGTGCGTGTGTGTGCGCGTGTGTGGCAGTTATGGTAAGTTTTGTGTAAAACAGGCAGTTGTCTTTGCATATGCAGTTTTGTTTGTTTGTTTGTTTCTCTCTTGATAGTTGGGCTGCAGAAATTCTGATGCCATGCTACCATGACCAAATCATGTTGCATCGCCATTGGAAACGAGACATTAAGAACAAAATAAGGCCATGGCCATTCCCATCCCATCCCATTATCATAGCATCTTGGCTATGAGGGAAAGGTTAAGTCCCTGCCGCTCTGTCCTTTCTGATTCTAGGAACGGCTGTTAGCTTTGAAGCGCAGCATGTCGTTTATGCAGGACATGGATTTTTCTCAGCAGGCAGCTCTTTTGGGTGATGAAGACACAGCAGTTGAGGAACCTGTCCCTGAAGTTGTTCCTGTACAAGCAGAGACTACCAAGAAATCCAAAAAGCAAAATAAAGAAGTTATTAGGTAAAGGTTTTAATGGGCATGCTTACTGGTTTGTTGCAGCTTTTATAATACTAGACAGCACCAAAGAATCCAGGAAAAAAACCCTTTTCAGCCTTTCTCCTTGTCGTCCATAGGATAAAAATTGGCAATTTTATTGTATTTTAGTTCTTTGTTTATTTATAGAACTAGTTTAATAACCCATTGATTCCCAAGTTGAAACAAACAATTCAAGGAATGACTGCATGTTCTTTTAAACACTTACAGTTAGTGTATATGTAGATATTTTTTGTCCTTTATATTAAATAATGAGTAGCTTCTTCTCATGATGAGTTGAAATGTTCTTTCATTTTTAACATAGTCACAAATAACTTGCATTTTTGTCCTCTTTTTTTTTCTTTTTTTTTTTTTTTTCTAAAATGATGTACTATATCAAAATCTAACAGGATCTTTCTGGGAGCACAAAGTGGCCCCAGATCCGTAAATGATTGTATTTAACTTTAGTCTTTTCTGGCAGGATATAGAGGTACAGGAGAATTTTTTTCTGGTGCAGATGATAACATCTTCCCAGTGAAATCTTACTGAGCTTTGTAAAAAATATCGCCAGTGCAGTAGATGTCTTCTAGCTAATAGGCACACCAGGGTCACAAAGTCATGTTTTTGTAGCTAAAATCCACTTTTAGTCAAATTAAAGGGGTTATTTTCTATTTTATGAGGAGATTTTTAGCAGAAACTGTGATTTATAAGCAAATGATGTTGTTCAGTGTTCTTACATAGACATCCTAGGATAGATGTTGTATTTAAATTGTAGAGCATTACATCAACTGGAATTTTATGAAAATAAAACAGAGCATTACTAGTAATGTGTTAAAATAATCTGATCACTTAGATATGTTCTGCAGGCTTCTTCCTTGAACATCCAAAGTAAAAAAAGTGAAATGTAAGTTGTTATTTCAAGTTCATGCACTGTCATTTTAGTTAAAAGTGAACTTTAGAGTTCTAATCAGCCACTTGTTTTTTGTTACACTTCAAGTATTTTTGTAATCCTGCTTAAAGTCTGATGGAAGAAGTAGTGTTTTAATGTTGTTTTGTGGAAATAGGAGACTGCAACATGTATCTTCAAAAATAATCTTAAACTGAGTAATTTTTTTGTGTGGAACTATTCTAATGTCAGCACGCAGAAGCATATCTGTTGCTGTACCATGAAGAATTATCAAAGTATATTTTGTTCTTTGTTTAATGGGTTATGTATAGGAATTAACTGAAAGTACGTTTCTTCATTGTGGGGGGAGGTGGCTTGGTTTTTGTTTGTTTGGTTGTTTTTTTCTGAATACGATGATTTGGTTTGTATGGTCCCCAAAATAATAGGTTTTCTCTTCTGATTAATTCTTACCTAAACTCCATTACAGGAGTAACTGTACTTTGCCACTTTTTGTGTGCTCATCTTCAAGTACAGATATGTAACAGAGCAAGAAATTGAGACTGACAAGCAATATATTACTGCTCTGTCTTTAATATCTACATTAACATACAGTTCAGATAGTTAAAATTAACTGACATTTAATTTTATCCTGATACCAGTTTCCTTGCAGATAGTTGTGGTATTAATTTACTTTCCTGTTCTTTTCAGTGTTTATGTAACTTTAGTAGTTGGAATTAATTTGGTTTTTCTAATTAACTTGACCTTTTAAACACTTGTATTTTGGCATCAGTTGGATAGATATTATTTTTTTTTGATGTACAATAAGAGCTTTGGGGGGAGAATTGAACCTAATAGCAGATATTTTTGCCTTCATATTTCATAGTAAAAAACAGCGAAAGAACTGAAGTCAGTGTTTACAAAGTGTTAAAGCAGTTTAGACCTCTATACTGTAGTTTGTTTAAAAAGTGACTTGATCGCTTGGACATCCTAATATCTAAGTAGTTTTTAAAAATTTTGTCCAGGATGCTGCAACCTTCTGAACATTCTCTCAAATTTCTTATCCATTTAAGTATTCTGTAAAGTGTGATAGAAAGTGCTTCATTGTTGAGGAGTTTGCTGCTGTGTACACCCTTTCTTAAAGTTTCAATGAAACGAAAATCGTATAACACATTTGTCTCATAATAGTATGATCCTGTGATCTTTTTATTGTCTTTAATAGCAAAACTTTCTTGTGTATCGGATCTGAATCTCTATACAGAGAGAAATTCTTAGCTAAGCAAATGGAAGAAGATACCCCAGGAGAGAGAAATGGATTTGGTGTGAGGAGATGCTCTACCCAGTACCTAAGGTGTTTGGCCCTAGTGTCTAATGTCCATATAATGCCCTGAAAGATTTTGATGTACAAAGTTTATTTTAAATATATAATATAATGAAGACTGTCATATCCTATGATATCTTCACACTTCCCCTTATAATACTACCTTTCACTGATTTTATATAATAGCTAAGATACGTCCTTTTCCATCTTAGGTTATGCTATTTGTTATGTTTTTATTGTTTTGGTGCTTTAATGCAAAAGGGACCTACTGAAAGATAAATTTTAAATTATGTAATTTCAATGAGAAGGAATGGTGTCATTGATATTGATTAGGAATAATAATTGACAATGTTAACAAACATAGGAATTAAAGGACTTCCTGTTAGACTGGGAGCAGTGTCCTACCTCTACAAGCAACTAAATGACATAATCCTCATAAATGCAGCCTGTTGGGTTTTTTTTCCTCAGATTAGAGTTACACAGTCTCCATTCCCTCATCACGTAATTTCTGTATCTTTCTATTTGAAATTTGTGAAAATAACATATTCTTGCATGTGGGAGACTAAGGACGCATACAACATTCACCATGTATTAATGCAATTTTACTCCCAATCTCTGTTTTATACTACTTCCTTTATTTTCATCAAGGTATAGAAACAGTTACATTTTTGAAGTTCAGTAGTTTGGTAGTTCTCAGCTTCTGCTGCAAAACTTCAGTTTCGTAATATGATTACAATTCCATTTAAATGCTGAAGTAGACTGACACTGGGAGAGGAGTGGGACTGATTGTTCTGTTTAGCAAACCCAGAATTCAGCCCTTTGTTTTATTTTAGCTTTTAATTTCTACAGCTACTCCTCTTCTCTTTCTTAGTTGCATATTTGAACCTGAGGGAAATGCATGCAGCCTGACAGATAGCACTGCTGAAGAACATGTCCTGGCACTAGTGGAACATGCAGCAGATGAAGCTCGGGATAGGATCAATCGATATCTACCCAACAGCAAGGTTGCTCAACGAAGTTCACAATTCCGGTTTTTGTCTGATTATCAAATGCTTTGTTTCATCTTGGGAAATGGGCGTTAGTATTACATTTTCTGAGACTGTAACATCTAGGATGTATGGTCTGTGTGGAATACCAATATCACTATTGTGTATCATTTACTTCCCACTGAAGCCCACTGAGGGTCATTATCTTAAATAGATCTCGAGTTGTATTGTGTTGAACATCTTTAGAAATTCACTTGCAGAAAACAGTGGAATGTTACTCAGTCTTGAATCTGGCTTCCTTAATTGCAACCCCTATCACTTAAAGTGATTAAAATAGCATCATGCTCTTCCTATTGTTGCAAACTCAGAAAAAGCAAACTTTGGCATAAGTTGAAGGGTTATTAGGATTCCTCCCTGCCAACCTAAGGAATTCAGGAATTGTTAAAGTCTTAAATTACTGTTTTCAATGAAAAGTCCAGAACCTCTTTTAGTTTTGTACCTACAAGAAGTAGCTGTCATCTGTAGCACATTCTTATGTAAGTACAAAATACAAACATCCTTCAGTGACTAGGAGAAGATAGCTGTAGTTTGTCCATGTTGGAATTTTGGACAGTGCTAGCCACAGGTTTGATCATCTTGAACATGATTCTGATACTGTCCATGTGTTTGGTTTTTGTGCTGTTCCAAGAGTTAAAAGGAAAAGCTCAGTAATGCTGTTAGTGCAGTTTTCTCAGCACAATCTGTTTATGGGCTGTGTTCTTCTTAGCTATGTGATAATGGTGGATTCCTTCATTATTTCATGCTGAGGTTGGAGTGAATCCTACTGACATTCTATACAGGTTTATGTTGAGATACGTTTACTCTGTTTCCTTTGAATCATATGAAGTCTTATTACAACCATTGTACTTTGTCTTCATTTCTCATTGTGTCACATAACTCTGGTGACCACTGCAATCAAAAATAGAATCAGGATGTTGCTATGTCCTGCATTTTCCACCTATTTTTTTAACAACTGTTGCAGAAGAAACATTTGCTTTGAAGCGTTAGTGGTAGCAATTGTGTCTTCAAACTTAAATGTCTATTTCTTGGACAATGGCCCTTGTTATACAGTCACCTTAGGCTCAACTGGCTGAGGAGATAAAGCCTCGAACAGTTGCGAGAAGGTTTAGCTTCAGTATATTTCTGTTTCTTTAGATAATTAGAAGACTTGCTAGGTTTGAGGGCTATTTGAAACCTCCAAAGTAAGATTGGCTTTTTAAAAACCGTTTAAAGCAATACCAATCTTCTGCTAATTGGTAGCTTTACTGAAAAGGCCTTCCATGCTGATGCAGTCAGTTTTGCAGTGTTCAAGAAAGAGATGTTCCAGGTGTGCAGCTCTTAATTGTCTAGGCTGTTAATTAGCTAGACAACCCACTGCAGATCCCACTGAATCTAGGTAACACTGACACATTCTTAGAGTTCAGCTATTGTTAACTTTCACCACCACTATGAGGTATTGTTCCTGTTGATTCTCTTTCCAGCATTTGTCACCTCTGTTTTTCTTATATGCAAACATTAGCTTTGGACTTAATGTATGGAGAGAGTTTTAATATTTTTAAGAGAGGGGGGAAAAAAACCCAAATTTTTTTGTTCAGTTTACTTGGAAGTGTTTATTAATATTTCATTAGTGAGAGCATAGTCTTCATTTTCTGAAGTTACAGTCTTTTTTGCATGATTCATGTGTAATCAGTTGCTGACATCAGCTTAGTTTCTTCTATCAGTTCTGTCTCTATCTTTACAGACCCAAGTGTGTTCTATTGTCTTTCACATCTCTGGATGTCTTTTTAGCATTGTGTTTGTGTGCTCTGATAGGTCTGTCACAGCACTCCTTCCTCTCTAAGAATTTGATAGTATTTTCATGAAAGTACTTCTAATTAGAGAAAGTTGTGGGTAAGATGAATACAAGTTGTTAGTCTAGATTTGGAAATAAACAATGAGGCAGATTCTGGTTAGGAGTTACAGTTCTGCTTCTAAAAAGAAAGTGTGTTCTAGGCTTGGCAGTTAGAAAGCCTGACTAATTATAATGGAGTTGTTTTTGTCTTGGGTGCAAACTGTAGATCTGATTTAGGAAGATAAATAAGGAATTGTATATATGACATACAAACTTTTCCTCCTAAGTCTTCTGTTCTGAAGTCTTTGCTGGCAGTGATAAATAGTTGTGACCCAAGTTTCTCAGTATTAAAAAGGAATACTAGAGTACAGGATCTGAATACAGCTACAAATGCTTTTCATAGTTTTCTGTGTAGAGCAAGCAACTCTTCCATTGAGTTTGGACTGTTCTGAATGATTGCTTCTATATCTTTGTGGTTCTATTTACAGATTGGTTATCTGAAAAAAAATGGGGATGGAACTTTATTATTTAGTGTGGTAAATTCATCTGATCCAGAAGCAGAAGGTAAATGACATAATCTTCCAAGAAAACATTTCTACTGTAGAATGTTCCAGCAGATTTTGAAGTCTTAACTGTACATATAGATCCTGTGTAGTATAGATGAGTTTTAAAAAAAAAAAAATAGAAAAATTCCCCAAACCATTTCCCCCGACAGCTGTATTGAGTATCTCCAATATAAGATGTTTCTCTTTTGCCTTTCAAATTTTCACTCCTCAGATGCTCTGTTTTACTGATGCTAACAGTAAGAAGGTAAAATAATATCTATTTATAAGCACTTATACATTGCTACAACTTTATATAGAACTTGGAAGATGGACTTTTGCTCCAAGTACCCTGTGCTATTAAAATCTAATAGACAAAATGTGAATGAAAGTGCTGTAATCCTATGTAAATGTGCAATGCACAGATGCAAATATAAAATAATCTTTCACTTTTTTTATTTCCTAATTTAAATTATCAGCTAAATTTCAGTTTTACATTAATTAGGTTTCATTTAATTGTTTTTGTTTAGTTCCTTGATCTTCTCTGTGGGTTTTTGTTTGTGTTACTACTATTATTACTACATTATTTATATTGTCTTATGCTTTCCACTTGTTTTAGTTTTGAGCTCAAAATGCAGAAGTTTTGAATGTTTGTAATGAATGAAATGTCATAGTCTTTATGTTGCTGTATTTCATATTGATTTAGCACTTCCTTCTCTGCACCTTTTGAGATTGGAATTCACTCACAGTTTACCTGTTGTTGCACTGATGAATGCATGAACCCTTTTGACTAGTCGCATTTTTGTTTATTTTTTTGATTGGGAGATACAAGCCTGTAACTCTTTTACTGACTAAATTCCTTTTCATTTGGTAGTAAATTTTTCTGGAATGAAATTGAGTGTTTTGGCTGACATCATGGCCTTACCTATTTCTGGAAAAAAAAAAAACAAAAACCAAACGTTATTTAATACCTCTGAAATCATGCCACTGAAAATCTAGACAATGATGGTAACAGCACCAGAGCAAGCTTTCACTGTGTGCTGTAAAGTACTGTACTGTTTCCTGATGTTTCTGTGCTCCAGAATCTTTTTTGATTGTTTGTATACTTAATACTATTTATAGTGAATTTACAAGTTAATAGTATAATCTGAATTTTTGTTGTAGGTTTTTGCTTTGGTTTTTTTCCCTAGTAAGGTTCTAGGCATAAACTTGCTTTGTGTTGTTCAGTAATTGAGCATAATTACCATTAGATTCTGTAGCAGCCAGAGAGATTTAAAATAACTGGAAGTGTCCTAAATGTTATTGGGATTTTTTTGAGTTTAAAAGCATATTCCAAATTATTTGAGCTATTTTAATTAAGCAGTTCTCAGAACTGTAAAAGAAAGAAATATTGCTATAGCCATAATGGTAATTATCTTAACAATGTTCTTTACGTGGTGTCTGGGTTTCCATAGACAAACTTAGTCAACATAAGAAATTGCTTTTGTCACTGCATAATACCTGGATCTTGAATGTTTGAATTGGCTAGTAAAAGAATTTCAGATGCTGCTGTATACTTTAAAAGTGAAATAACTAAGCCATACATTTTATGAGTAAGAGATAGAAACATATTTACAGCATGTATCTGAAGTTTAAATGGAGACCCTGAATTAAACACTACCTATCCTTAATAAAAATGTACAAATTAAAAGCTATTTAGCCTTTATGGTAATTGCAACTTTCTAAAATAGCAAAATCTAAATATTCACCATAAGTAAATTTTAAACATAAAATGCTTTTCTAAAAATTATTATCTTCTTTTAAATGAAATTACTAGAGGAAGAAACTCACCCAGTGGATCTGAGTTCACTGTCAAGCAAATTATTACCTGGCTTCACTACACTGGGCTTTAAAGATGAACGAAGAAATAAGGGTAAATGTCAAATAACATGTTTTAACTTTGTGTTAATTGAATGTTTGAGCAATTTCTTGATGTAAAATAATCCCATATTATAGCTGTCTCCAAATGAAAGTTCATTTGGTTATTTCTATAATATATAATTCCATTTACAGCAGAATGCTGCTTAATTAAATTGACTTTTTGCTTGTTAAACATAACTTAATTAGGAGTTGATGGATTAATGTTTTGCCTCAGTGTTATAGCCACACTAGAAGCTTTCCAGTAATAGTACTCCCATTTTCTCTGGAGGAAATAATTTTTCCTGAGCAACTGCGCTTAGAGTTGACAAAAAAACCTTTTGGTCATTTGCATTTTACATTTACATTGTATCATATGACAAGGATTTCACAAACTGTGGGGTTTTTTTCTGGTAGTATTGACATTTTTAATAGTTTCTAATCTGCTTTCCAGAAGTGGACTGGCAAACAGCAATGAAGTAGACACATGCAAAAAGTAGAGATATAAAAGGAGGTGGGGGGATAAATCTTTTTTTGTGAGAGTGGGGTGCTTAACTTAGTTCTTTATTTTCCAGTAGTATGTTCATTTATATTGTTAAAATTGTTGCACTGATTCTAGAGTCTGGAAGTGTCCTTGAGATACTGCTCTTGATTTCAGTTGGAGGAAAAAACACACTACACTTCCTGTATCTGTTTCAGAAAACAAAACCTTTTTTTGAAGAATGATCTTTTACACTTGTGTTAATCATTTGTCATCTCTTTCTTCTACCTGTCCAGTAACTTTTCTTACAAGTGCTAGTACAGCACCCTCCATGCAAAACAACTCTATATTTCATGATTTGAAATCAGATGAAATGGAACTCCTGTACTCAGCATATGGTGATGAAACTGGGATACAGTGTGCCTTAAGGTAGGTGCTTCCTTTTTTGGAGGCCTAACTTCCCATAGCAATTTTATGAAAAGTGCTTTGGACTAAATGTCAGCTAGGAGCCTCCAAATCCTGATATTTGAAGCAAGCTTTCATCCTGTTTGGTGGTTTGTTTGGTTTTGGTTTGTGTGTTGTTTTTTTTTTTTTTGGTTCGTTTTTTGCTGGCTTTAGGTGGGTTTTTTTCCATTTGCACTTTTAAGTTACCCTATTATTGCAAGGCTGTTACGGGTCTTGTAACTAGGGTCTTTGACCACAGGATATTATAGGTTGCTAAAGATTTAGCATTTTGCTTTAAACCCAGCAGTAAGTCGTTTTAGATATGCCAGTAATAGATTCTAGTGATTTTAAAGCAGTGATATTTTTCAAGGAGTTTCAAAATAGTTAAAGCTACTTGAAAAGGAAAATGCCACTTTTATTTAAATTGTTGGTCTTGGAGGGAAAGAATTAATCACAAGCTTCTTTCTTTTCTTTGTGGTTTTTTTAACCCACTACCAATGATAGTTCAAGTGAAATTTGCTGGTAGTTGTGAAAAACAAGTTTGCACATATGTTCCTTCCATTAAAAAAAACAAACAAACAAAAAAAAACCCTGTCTTGAAGGCCTTAATTGCTTTTCTAAAGAAGCATAAAAGAGTAAAAGAACAAGGAGAATGTAGGTGTAATGCAATGTAGTTGGGGAAAACCATATAAGGTGAAATCTTTTTTACGAAAGTAAACATTTTTTGTAATGCTTCTGTCTCCATTTTTACTAGCTTACAAGAATTTGTGAAGGATGCTGGAAATTACAGCAAGAAAATAGTAGATGATCTTCTGGACCAGATCACTAGTGGAGATCATTCCAAAACTATTTATCAGCTAAAGCAGGTGTGTCCTTGATGCACAGAGATGTCACAAGTTCATGAAAACAAAAATGGACCTCTTTCTGTTTTTTAATATTGTATGAGATGCCTTTTTTTCCACTGTCAGTTTAAGCAGTACAGGCTTAGCTGTTCATGCAACCATGCGGTAAACCAAATTAGAAACTGAATTAGCGGAGAAGTAATCTTTTCCTTGTCTCCAGCTAGATCAATTCTCCAGTGTGGTTCACTAATGTGACTGCAGAAAGGAAGAGGCAAGGGGGTGCAACAAAGCAGGGGGAAGAAGAGACCAACCAACTGAATGGTGTTTGGGCAGCCCTGTCACTCAGTGTCATGACTTATGTATCTGCTTCTGAGTTATATTGCAGTGCTTTTGTTAAGGATTTTTTTTTTCTTCTTAATTTAAATGCAAAATCTATTCCTTGTGGGAGGATTAATTATTTGGGACATTGAAATAATGTTGGAGAATAGATTAATACCATTGTACAGGTATCTTATTACCCAACAGTGGTAACTTTTAAATTCATTTAGTGCGTCTGAGGGAAAAACTTTTAAATTATTTCCAAAAGCACTTTGCCTAGGAGGTTCATACTAAGACTGGAGAAGAGATTTTTCTCAGAAGCTTGTATAATTCTGGTGGGAATGTTTGCATTCCTAAGACAAAATAGTCTACCGGAAACTGCAGAATCTTGTTTCATGTTATTTTCAGTCTGACAACCACTCTTAGTTTGCAATAATTGCCTGCTGTTTAAAATTAGGACATTCTGAATGATTCAAAAATAAAGAAGGGGAGGCAGCAGGTGGATAGAAGGTATTCAGCCTTCCTGACATGGTGGAAATGAGATTATACTAAATCTCTGCAGAATTTGAAGTAGAATAGGGTGCGTGATGTTTGGGGAAAAGGAGACAATAGAATGAAAAATACAGAGGGTCCTTAAGAATTTTCTGGCTATTTTTTTCCAGTCCCTGCTGTAAAAAAATTTGTCTGTGGAACAGGAAAAAATGTAAAGGATTAGTTAAAAAAAAAGTCAAAATTTCAAAAACAATATTTTGAATATTTTCTACATCTAGAAATGTGCGTATACAACATATTGAACTTAACGTTAAACTATAACATGTTCCTTTCCCTTTTTGCCACCTGGTTCTATGAATATTGTTCCAAAATTAGAATTTCTGAATACCTTTCAAATGGTCAATGGCTATTTCCACTTAGAAATGCTGTTCAGTTGTGCCATGTGTGGATATGTACAGTTTTTGTGTAATTAAATGTGTTTCAGTGATGATGTGCCATGGTGTTTTATGCTTGATTATTTTGTGTTTCTACATTTGAGTAAGAATGAATATCTCTGAAAGTGCAACCTTAAATGATTTGGAATCAGAAGTTACTGAAGTAATGGTTAAGATACTGCACTTGAATATAAAGTTCATTGGCAGAAGAAATAGTGTAAGGAGTCTCAAAGATTAGTTAAAATGTCTAATAGTAAAATATGTCAAAACAGTAACTTGTTACTTTGTCACATATCTGTAATTCAATTACAAAGTTAACTGTCTCTAGTCTCATTTTGTGTGTAAAGTTTGAATATATTTGAAATTGTACAAGAGAGAGTTCTTTCTCTTATGTTGATTGAAAGTAATGGTTAGTATCCTTCCTTTCCAGAGGCGAAACATCCCAGTAAAACCACTGGATGAAGTTAAAGTAAGTTATTCTGATACTCAAGTCTGTTCGTTTGGTTTTTTTACTGGAAAAAGTGTCTTGGCATTTAAAGTAGAGAAAGTGATGATCTATGGGCTTCCAACATTCAAATTCTTTATTTTATTTAATATGTATCTGTTCTGTATAATAATACAGAAAATTTTGATAAGTGGAATATATGATAGAGAAGAGGCTGTTCGGTTACTTCTAAAGAGGCTGTCCTTATTAGTTAGAAATTTTTTACATTAATGTATATGGTCACTCATTAGAGAAGAGCTAGTCTTTATTTTTTGTAAAGGTTCTATGCAAATACCACAAAACATGATAGTGTTCTGTGGTGGCCTAGAATCTGATCATGGTAAACCAGTAAATTCCACAAACTAAGATTATTCTTAGGAAACGTAAGTATAAGCTATGAAATGCTAAGATCTAAAGTATGATATGATTCTTTAGGTTCTGCCAGTTCTCATAAAAGAAGAACACAAGTTGCGTAATACCTGTCCGGATTCTTCCAAACAGATTATGGTAAAATGGTTTGGGGCGGGGAAGGACTATGGAGAACTTAATTTGGTTTCAGTGTGAGGATGTGCATGCTCTGAGGTAGAAGATTAAAATTACAGTATCTAGAATAAGCTTTTGGTGCTTACAATAAATTCTCTGACACAGTCTATTTTAGTTAGTGGCTTTGTCCTTTTGTTCAGTATTTTCTTATTTAATTCAGAATGCATAACTAAATCTCAGAGGCAGAAAGACCACTTAGGAATCCAAAAGATACTTGATCTGCAATCTGCTGATGAATATTTGCGGTTCCACCTGCTGTAAAAGTTGAAAAAAACAGTAGTATTTACCAATTTTACTGCATCCGTTGAAAATGTCTGTTAGAAAGTAGGGGTAAATAATGCATATCTTATGCTTCTACAGCTACCAATCAAATTTTTCTTTAAATGGTACAAGTTTTATTATTTGTGGAAACAGAAGATATGCACTGTATTCCATGGGAATTCGCATAAAATTACATAGATTACATTATAGAAACTATTAAAATTTATATTTTTAAATATTCCTTAGGTTTTGTGGAAAGGTTTGTATTTCTCTGGAAGGTGACCGGTTAATTCATGAAAGTGCTAGGTTTCATTTTTGTATCTCTGAAAGATAATACCTGATTGTGTATTTACCTGCATGTCTTATTCCTCCTCCTCGATTAGGTAACCTCAGAGAATTCTGTTAGAATGTGTTCTGAAGCTTAACAACTTTTACTTTAATCTCCTACTTTTTGCCATTACATAGCAGTATTGCAATAGGTATGGAAAAAAACGAAATTGTAGTGCAGGCTGTATTTTCATTATCCAAATGTATAGAAAAAATGCATGAGAGACCAGCTCCAGCTGATACTGTCTATAGAGAGGCACACCTTACTGGTTTTTAGTCACATCCTAAAAGTTTCAATAAATCCTGTGTTGCATTGAGAAAGTGAGGGAAAAGGGGATCTGGGAGTGGTTCGTGATGGGGGATACTGATAATGCTTCTCCCCACCAGAGTTCTGCCATGGGACAGGGATGAGTTGAGCATGTAACTGAGTCCCAGAGGATTCAGTAACGTTGGTTTCAGCAGTCCTGGATGATGAGATGAAAGATATTTAGACTGCCCTGCAGATCTCTTGCCGTTCATATGACTGGTGTGTCCTGGAATCTTGTTTGAGCTGCCTGTGAATTGCAGGTTAGCCAAGATGGTTATGGATGCTCCAGTCTCAACTGTTGTGGCACACACTTTTGAGACTATTGATTCATGTGTTTACCTTAAACATTAAAAAGTAACTGACAGCTTGTCACTATTGCTAGTCTTTCTGTTTCTTGTGTTGTAATAGGTTGGAGAATCTGCTGGAGACAGTAACACTTCCGACTTGGACTTTCTCTCTATGAAATCGTATTCAGATGTATCTCTTGATATTTCAATGTTAAGTTCATTAGGTAAGTAATTTAATATACAAGCCATCAATTTTGGTTTAGTTGCACTGTTTAGGCAGAATAACAGCTGGATTTGCTAAGAATAAAAAAGTGTTTTAAAAGTAGTAATAAGTCTACATTTGACATCAGTAAAAGTCTGGGACTGGTACAAGATAAATTAAACCTTGGTCTGTTTTTCCTTTGAGACATGTATGTACTGGCCAAGCTAACTTTTCCTGTACCACTGAAGAAACTGAAGCATTTGTACCTCACAATTTTGATAGCTTTGCTTGTTTTTTATGTGTTCTTAGTAACATAAGTTTTAAGAATCAGCGTGAAGCTTTGGCTCAGAAATGTTACTGCTTCATATGCTGTCTTTTGAAATAACTTGGGCGGTAGGTAAGTATGCGAAGCTCAATCATATCACCACTTGGAATGTCCCAAAACAAAAATCAGAAGAAACTTCAGGTGTTGGAAGGGCTTAAGCTTCAAATAAGGCAGTTGTATAAAAATATTGGGATGTTGTTTCAAATACGTGTTTTTGACAGGTATCCTTCTTTAAACACTACAAGAAGTAATGTTCCCATTTCTGCAGGCTGCTGAGCTGGTCAAATGTCTTCAAAAATATCACAAAAAAAAAAAGTACTGCTTATGCTTTAAGATACTGTTAATTCAGAATCTGAAAGATGCCACACTATCTATTATAAAACATAACCAAGGTAATTGAAAGCTTAAATTAAAAAAAAAAAATCTACAGATTTCTCCCATAGGTGCAGTATTCTTTGAAAAGCAATTGTAAACTCTGATTATTGTCACATACTAACTTCATTGCAGTTCAGTAAAAATTTAAATCTGTTTTATAGGTAATGTTTAGACACCTATCTTAGTATTAATTTCTTGCTCCACTGAAAGCTGCTTGTATTTTTCCTCTTTGATCTTTCTGTAAAGAATCATACTTCCAGATTACTTAGCTTCTAGAAAGAGTTTATGCATTGTTTCTTAATCATAACTCTTGTGAAGTTAGCAAGGTCTGCATCAAAGACAGCCCAAAGAGAAGGGAAAAGAGTTTATTCTCCTGTTTAAAGTTGAGGGAAATTTTTTTTAAGTCTTCAGATGAAAGAACAGCCCATGTTGGCACATACTTTCACTTCTTTCCAATTTCACAATTTCATTTGGCTTACTATAAAATCAGTGTAGCTGGAGAAGATAGTGTTCTTAAAACCTCTGTGATGGGGATTTCTTCACCTCCGTAAGTTACATGTTCTATTATAACTATTTTAAATTCGATATTTAAGTAATCTTTCTACTGACTTCCTCTCCTTTGCTGCAAACTAAATGCATTATTTCATGTCTGGAGCTTAACAGATGAGGAATACAAATTAAGTTCTTATAGCTGTTTAAATAACTGGGAGTCAGTTCAGTTTCAGCCATTGCCCATGATGCTCTCCTCCGTCTATCCAATATTGCCAAATGCATTTCAACATGTATTTCTTGAAACTGAAAACAGAACTGCAGCTGTTGCCTTTTAGAAGTGCAATGGAGAATGCAAGATTGAGGTCGTTTGTGTAATAGACAACACTTGTGTTAATTTATTTTAGAATTTTTTTATAGCTACATGGTAGTCTGCATGTGCTAATTACGGGGTTTGGTTGGTAACTGGTGGCCTTTAGGGAAAGTGAAGAAGGAGCTTGATCATGACGATAACCATTTACATCTGGATGAAACAACTAAGCTGCTGCAGGACCTTCATGAAGCTCAGGCTGACAGAGTGGGATCCCGGCCATCATCCAATTTGAGTTCCCTCTCCAATACCTCTGAAAGAGACCAACATCATCTTGGTAAAGTTACTCGTGTCGCAGAAGCTGCAGTACTTCTGCTCTTATTGAAACTGGTTAAAACTTACATTTTAATTTACATAAATATTTGCATGAAACTACTCTGATAAAACAGACTGCAGGATCATGTTTTAATATTTTAAATATACATGGCAAAGGCAACTAAGACGACATACTTTTGACCTGTGGAATTAAGGACACTAATTGTAGTTACTTATTTTCTGATTAGGCACGATAGTGAAATAATTGTGAAATAAACTGATACTGACTGGTAAATCCCTATATGTACTTGCATTTTATGCTCTTAGAAATACTAGAGAGACTATAATGTTTATTTTACTTCGGCATAGATGTATGCAGCAAGTAACAGGTGGTATTCTACAATAGCCTTCCATTGTCAACTGTAAAATTCAGTCATAAGACAGGATGATAGGGTAACATACCACTTAGCAATTCAGTGCCATTTCTGAGAAAGTAGGTGGTGTTGGTAGCATGATAGTTAATTACATTTTGTCTAATTTTTCAACTCAGTGATAGAATAATGACCACTTTTTCAAAAAGGATCTATATTAATGAAGAATCCTGTAATTTCTTTTTCAAAATCCCGTTTAAATATAATTTAAATGTCTGTCTTGCTTTAAAAGTCTGAAAGCAACATGTTAAATAACCATGCTGTTTATATATATAAATATCTCTCCATTATTTTTCTGTATTTTTAAATGTTTTGAATTTTTTTTTTTCCATACTCTGTAGGAAGCCCCTCTCATCTGAGTGTTGGAGAACAGCAAGACATGGTTCACGATCCCTATGAATTTCTTCAGTCTCCAGAAACCTCAAATGCCACTACTAACTGATCTGACATGTAGTATATGTATTTTGTATTTTAATTGTATTATGTTTTTATAAAGTTTTTGTCCATGGCAGAAACATGAATTTTCTCCTCTTTTCTATGAGGATTCCTGTAGAATAGTATCATATATGCTGGATTAAACAAACAACCCCAACTACTTAGTACATCATGATGTTAGCAATGTACCAAAACATGCTTTTGATTTGTTTGTTGAGGGAGGTCATTGTCTATTGGTGTGTGAGTCTTGACTGAAAACAACAGATAATGTGTTAGAAAAAATTGTATTTTATAGAAACTAAAAAGTGATAATTTTACAAGTATCATGGCAGCATTAAATGTTTCTAGTATAATTATCTACCAGATCTGTTCAGGTCTTGTCTTGAACATCTTCAAGGAGGAATATTTTATTTCAGCAGTGACAGAACTGCATGAACTGTAATCGTTATTATGTTTCCCATCTCCTAACCTAATAATCTGCAGAAGTTGTTTCTGTTTCCCCACATTTTTAAATCTCTTTTTAATCACTCTAGAGAATACTGAATTTGAGCGTAACAATACTTGGTAGTTGCATTAAAATGCTCACTACGAGAATTCTATCCTGGATCTAAAAAAGATGGATGTTTTTGCGATCCTTTGTGTCCTGAAACACAAAGAAAATATATTTTTTAATTTGATATGTGTATTTACTTGGATGGAAAAAATACTGGATAAGGTGTGCTTTTCAGTAATTTTAAAAGAAAAGTTTTATAATTCAATACTGATATAACTGGGGGTTTTTTATACCATTGATATGTGCAAGCTGGACAAATGTTAACAAATTTACAATATTTTGTAAATATTAATAAAGATACAAAACCACTTTTTATGTTTGCAAATATCTTGCTCTTGCCAGGAGAAAATCTGCTTCCTTATCTTTACTAAGTCTGAAATACTAGGAGTTTTTGGTCTGAATTTTTGTGCTGCTTCAAAAGATGAATTTCATCATGCCACGTGAGCTGTCTCAATTGTGAGGATCTGACACCTATGCTTCTCTTGGAACAAAAATCTGCAGCATACCCCACACACTGCCAGCACATCATTCTTGTCTTGCCTTAGTACTGAACAGAAACATGGATTTTGGTAAGATACTTTGATTAAACAGGTACGTATGTTACCTGTTGTCAGCCTTCTTTGATAGCAGTATCTTGTTTTTGCAATTTATCCTGAGGTGAAAAGCTTTGGTCACGTAGAAAGTTTGCTGTTTTATAGTGCTGTTTATCTGTTACAGCTTTAAATGTTGAAGTGTATTTTTAATGATTGGTCTGTAAGCTTGTTGATTTTTTTTTTTTTTTTTTAACAGAGTGCATACATTGTGTTGGTCAAGAAAAGTTGGGATGGCACAGCTAGAATGGGCAGGAGGTGAACTGGTGGAGGTGATAGCAGAGCCAGGATACACATCACGTGAATTATTCAGGGATGATGGTTACTTTTGAGTATAAATGTATTCCAAAGTGCAAATGTGCAATTCTGTGTGGGAGGATTTTTTGAATTTTGACCAGAGATTTGCTATAAAACAAATTCTGGGATGTTTTTGGAGAGTCAAATTAAATGTAAATACTATTGTATCATAGATTTTATGTAGTAATGGAGGTTCAGGTTAACACATTTAGGTTACTGTTCAGACACCACACCGATCCCAAAGAAATGCCAAACCTTTACTGTTTCGTTACTAGAAATAACGTGAGCCAACCTTAAAGGATGGGGTTGATTCTAGGCTTGGTTTATGGAAAAAATGTTGCAGCAAGACATGGATCAAGTGGGATATGAAATCAACAAATAGCATCTTTTGAAACCAAGAGGACTGTTTTACACATAGATGCTTTTGATCACATCTTCATGTTTCTATTTGGTATTTTAAAATTAATCCTTGATTTGCATTTGAAGTAAATAAAATCTGTTTATTCTGATACACATCATAAAATCACTGTCATATGTGTAAACATGACTTGCCTCAGCTTCTGGATAGCTATTCAAGTGTTACAGTTTTGTTACTGTTTTTGTACAAAACAAGAGTTTCAGTTTTTCATTAGAAACTGTCTTGAGGAAAATTCTAAGTCTGACAATGAGTATGTTTACATAGAGTCTCACTTTTATGAATTCTACACAGTTTGTAAGAGAATAAAATGCAATTTTGTTATCTTTCACAGGGTTTGATTTACCAGTGAAAAATAACTGCAGGAATGAGTCCAAAGGCCAGAGAAACAATTAGTGTGGCCACTAGTAGTAGTAGTATCTGAAGTATCTGAACTGTGTAACTGGGATTTGGTGTTTTCTGTGTAAGCCGAAATGCTTTCTGTGACAGCACAATGTGAGTTGAGGGTAGCTTGAGTAGGCAGCTTAACAGATCTGGTCTAATGCATAACCAGCACTGAACTAATTGGGTGTAACACCACCATCACTACTTAATTTAAAAAAGCAATGACTGAATTGACACTCCATGGAGCCACAACCTCTCCCTTGGTTTAGTGCTTTGCTTTCTGTAGGTACATTCTAGGGTTTCTTTGCATCCAGGTCTTTGCAGATCAGTCATGTCCGTGATTCCTTGGGCCTTGGCTATCCCTGTAAACAGCATTTCAGGATTTTGTATGTTAAATGTTGGCAAGCAAAGGCGGTGCAAACAGCTGAGAGTCTTTGTAGATCTCCTTCATTCTGTGCTTTGTTGTCCACGTGCCTTGAACTTGCCTCAGTTTGCATCTCCTCTACTGTAAAAGATTTTGTTACTGGGAGTGTTTAAGCTCTTCTTCCCACCCTCTCTTCCAAAATACCTCTGAATACAATATTGTTCACATAAAAACCTTCCTCAACAGCTGCTCTCAAGCCTAGAAAGCATATAGTCAAGATGAAAAGGGAGTGATCAGGGTTCAAAGGCTCTGCCATCCTTTTCTAGGTGACTGAAAGGCAGAGTTTGCCTCTTTCTCAAAGAGAAATTTTTGCTATCTTTGAAGTGCAGGAGAACAGCATTAATTTGGGCCTGGGTTCACTTCACCTTAGTAGCTTTGGTTTTGCTGTACTACCATTAACAAGCCCTGGTGCACCAGTTGTTGGGAAAGCTGCACTCCCAGTCCTTTCTTGTCCTGTCAGTAGGCACTGCTGAGAAGAATCTGGCTCCTTCTTAACTCCCTCGCATCAGGCATTTGTACACATTGATGAGATCGCTCCCGAAACTCTTTCAGGTTGAAGAGTCCCAGCTCTCTCAGCCTCTCCTCATATGAGAGATGCTCCAATCCCCTCATCATCCTTGTTGCCTGTGCTAGAATTGCTCCAGTAAGTCCATTTCTCACTTGTACTGGGGAGCTCAGAACTGGACACAGCACTCCAGATGTGTCTCAGCAGTACTGACCAGGGATGAAGGGTCATCTCCCTTGACCTGCTAGTAAAGTTGTGTTGTGTGCAGCTCAGAACACAGGTGGAAGCTGTAGATGTGAGGGTGCATTGCTGGCTCGTGCACAACTTGTAGTCCACCAAGGATGCCAACGCCCCTCTCTGCAGAGCTGCTTTCCAGCTAGTGGGCTCCCAGTGCAGGTGCAGAACTTTGCATTTCCCCTTGTTGAACTTCATGAGGTTCCTCTCTGCCCAGTTCTCCAGCCTGTTGAGGTTCCTGTGAATGGCAGCATGTCCATCTGGTCCATCACCCACTCCTCACAGTTTTGTATCATTTGTCGGTCTTCAGCTTTCCTAATCCCATGCTTGCATGATCAGCCAGCATCTCTATGCTCCTCCTGGGTCACCTGCCCCTGCTTCCACCTCCTGTGCATTTTGGTTTTATCTGTCTTCAGTCAGGAGCTCCTTGCTCATGCATGCAGGCCTTCTGCTACCTTTACTTGCTTTTGTACTTGTCAGGATGGGCCATTCTTGAGTTTCAAGGAGGTGATCCTTGACTATCAACCAGCTCTCCTGGACCCCCCTTTTCTCTAGGGCCATATCCCATGGGATTCTTCCAAGGTGATCTCTGACGAGGCCTATTGTCCTGAAATCATGGTCTGTTGGTCCTGCTTTTTGCCCTGCTACCTCCTCATAGTGTCCCAAATGCCAGAAACAATTTCTGTTGTCCTGAACAACATAACTTCTGACGTTTTGTGATAAGGAAAAAATTCCTCACCATGAGAATGGTCAAGCATAGAAACAGGTTGCCCAGAGAGGTTATGGAATCTCTGTCCTTACAACTTTTCAGGACTCAACTGGACAAGGCCCTGAGTTAGTTTGGAAACTAATTTTGTCTGAAGCAGGAGGTTAGACCCCCAGAGGTTCCCTTCAACATATCTTTATCTAAGATTCTGTGACTTATCTGCTATAATCATGAGATCATCCTCCTGATGATTATAGCCTTCTGGAATAGTTTTCTATGAGAAATTATAAGAAACCTCTGGGAAATGCATGGAGAAAGTAGCTACACTATCTTCGGTTAGTTTTATTACATTGAGAAGGCAAGAACTCCAGTTATGAGTCAGGCAGACTAGATGGAGAAATCTGGTCTAAGTAATAATTGTACTGAGAATGTGGATATTGACTGGTAAATGCTGTTGATAGATATTTAATCTTCAAGATTAAATTAAAAATTAGATTAAATAAAATTAGTGATTTCTCTTTAAGGTGAAGATAATACTGTATGGTAACATTTTGATACGATGACTTCAATCAAGCGTAGTTTTTCACAATCTACCTAGGTGAGTCCAGGCAAAGATGACAGGTTCCACTGAAATATTATTTAAACATTCACCTAGGATGCTAAACTGTTTTCAGATATGGATGAGGATACCTCTAATACTACTAGGAAGTGTCATTATTACAGAATACTTGAATTTTCCAGAAAGATTAGAGAACAAATTTTGTTAATAATAGCTAATCCAGGCATTTCTGGATGAAATTTCCACCTTTTTTTTTCACTGAATAATTGCTGAGCCAACTCTATTGATTGCTATTTTAGACTTGATTACAATGAGTAATAGAAGAGACTTCTTCAGGAAATTTTGGGGTTGAAGAAGGATGACTGGATTTAGCTTGAGTTAAACAATAGGGTAGACCTTTCATAAGAGAGTTCGGTTTCTGGGAGAACTGAAAGTAAATTTGTCACATTTAACTATGACCCACCTGGAATCAAACTGGGAAAGTTACTGCCTATAACAAAGTTTCTGTTTTGCAGGAAGACAAACTTTGGTAATGGGATACAGGAACTAGTTGGTCTTCCATGCTACAGAGCTCAGCAGCTTGAATTTTGTGAAGATTTGAAATCTTTTAATCTGAAGACACTGAAATGGTCAAGAATCTATAGCCTAAACAGAGGAGGAAAGTCTCGGTTCAGATTTTGTTATTCCCAGGATCCTTATAGAGGGTGTTCAGAAAATTAATAAGGAATGCAATGATGAGTAAAGATAATGGCTGGAAAATACAAGAAAATACACAACAATTATTACCAACAATGAAGTGGAAGTCCTTGAAAAGATATTAAAACAAGTTTAATTAGTCAAATTACAGTAACACATTGTTCTCAAATGGAGGAAATGAGAGATGGCCATGCTGTGGCATGTTCAGGCTTGACCTCAGTGATGCACCAGGTCTGTAGCATAAGCTATTTCCCTGTCTACTTTCATGTTTATCTGTTTTTAAAATGATGATCAAATAGAGCTTGTGGACACAGTTGTGCTTTGAAACATCCATGTGCAGCTCAGCTGGAACCGAGTGTTTTGGCTTCCCGGTGCAGGACACTTGCAGCTGGATGGTGACTGCTCTTTGTCTCTGAAGCTGGAATTCTGCTCCTGCTCTAAAGCACACTTGTGCCTTCAGGCAAATCCCCTGACATATCTGATGTTGACAGATGGTCTGAACTCCATACAATACTTTGGATGATTAAGGGAGCAGCATGGTCCTGGGATCTTTCTTCAGCAGCATTTTCCTCATTCACCATAGGAGCTCTGGAATCTTCACTGGGTTGCTAGACCTGCCCAGCACCAGGTCAGCAGAGGCCTCTGCCAGCCCTACCTCCAACTCTTGTGCTGGGCTCTTAGCCTCCTCTGCACTCACAAGACTTTTAGGAGGAGCTGGGCCTTCTTACAGTCTGAGTAGTGAGCTTGCAGGTCCTGCAAGAAGAAATGGTGAAGTAAACAGTAAGAGCAAAACAACTGTACCCTGCCTGGGAAGCACTGGGTGCCATACCCTTCCTGCAAGGATTCTTCTGGGAAAGTGTTGCACGTTCTGCCCAGCTTCATTTGCAAGTATATATTCCTTTATTTCTTTGTAGATGTTGCATTATGTCAGCATTCCTCAGATGTTGCTGAGGAATCCTTATGCAGGGGGAATGGCCACATTCTTTGCATGTATGCATATATCAGGGTATGGAGATCTCTCATCTTGCTCCTCCATCCACACAGCAGATGGGAAAAAGAAAAGGTAATGTTTAAACAGTTGTTTGACGAGGAGAATTGAAATCTTGCGAAGAGAACTTTTCCTCCCGTCTCTACTCTGTTTGTTTTCTATTGCTGTGAGCTAGACGGTTAATGCTGAAATTCCTCTGTGTGACTACATTTTGGAATATTTATGTAATTGTGTTGAGAGATCTGAATATTGTCATGAATCCAATTCCTTTTCTTCCGTTAGATGTCAGACCCAGAAACGAGGTGATTAGCTACTGAAATGTGAAATGAGGGTATTTCTTAGGATTTGTTTGCTTGATTTTTTTTTTTTTTCCTTTTGGGAATGGAGGAGATACATCATAACTCAAACTTGAACACTGTACTTGACTATTACTATTATGTACTTTACTATTATGTCTCAATCTCCACACTCAGATTTTTCTATTCTGATACCTTTTTCAGATCAGAAGTTCTTTAATTGATAACTGGTGTGGAAGGAATCCTTTCTAAAAATATGACCTGGTTTTTTTTTTTTTTGAGATTGCTCTGATTTCTTCTAACTCCTCTTGTATCTAATGTATTTTCCCTGAGCTTTAGAGGATACTCCAAGGATGAGCTGCAGCTGTTGAAAGGGAATCTAAAAAGTGCAAAAGTTCTATGCTTAAGGGAAGTTTTTCGTTGTTAGTAACTTAAATCACTACCTCTGCTGCACATACGTTTTCCCATCAGTTGCAGCAATGCCAAAGAAAGCATACAGCTAAGCTTTTCTGTTTGTGAGTTGTTAGAAATGTGTGTATGACAATGTGTTTGGGCTGCTTTGTTGTTCATACACTCTAATTGATCATGACCTGTGGGTTCTTGGAAGTAACATGCATGATCTGCTGCACTGTTGGAAAGTGTTTGCATGGACACACAACCTTGTTTTGGTCTGTACCTCCCTAAAAGAATTTTAACTGAAAAGTGTCTTTAAAACTAATGTGGTTTTGCCCTATAGTACACTCGGTCTGATTTCTCATACTTAATATGTACAGTAAATATAAATTGATTCCTGTAAGACATTCTAAATAATAGTTACAGTTGGTGAGGAAATCTTTATTGAAACACTTACTGTTGAATTACCTACCTTATCTCTTCAACAAAATTCCACAGTAGAATATTTAGAATATTCCTATAGAGGAATGTGCTGGTTTGTTTTGGTTTCTGCTTAAACTTTTATGTATACTATTGAAAACTGAAATAACGTGCAGTGTGTTATTTGGTATCTTCATCTTGCATTTCAGACAGAATGCATTCAAACTTTCTGAAATTCTGTAAATCGGCCTTTATGGGCTCCGTGGGTTAGATGTATAAAAGACTGTATATTCTTTGTATCATTACCATACCAGGGAGCACTCTGTGCCTGGGGAAGGTTTGCTTATTTATTCAGCCTATCTGACCCTTAAGCAATGTCAGTTATGCACAGCAATCTCTAACTGCAGTCTTAAGGGTGCTAGACTATTCTTTTAATAGGCCTACTGCCTACGTTCTCCAGGAAAAAAATGCTTTTAAGAAAAAAATTCTTCCCAGAAGCAAATATAAAAGTTTTCGTTCGCATGCTATGGTGTCTTCCCATAAATGTCAGACATTGACTTGTAACCTGTTTGCTGAATGTACTGCTACACATGACTGGGCGCACTAAATGGCTCAAGAAAAGCTTTTATTTTTCTTTGAGAAATGGCATTCTCCTATATTTTACAGAAAGATTGGACTCTGAGTTTGCAGCCTCTGCTAGAAAAAAACAGATTCCTGAAGCTTTAAAATAAGTGGCTGAAGTGACTTCTTTCAGTTTGACTTGTTTGTAATAGTGCATTTTTACTGATTCTCAAGCTGATGGAGAATCTCTTGCTCATACTCCTTGTGGCTGATTGTGTATGCACTTATCCCTGTGCCAGTGGTAAGCTGTTGCATTTTCCAAATGATTCTGTTTTATTTCAAGTAAAGCTTTAGGAAGCAATTCTGCTAGTCCTTTTGCTACTTATTTGAAGGGGAAAAAATTCCTAAGCCATGTCTCATTTGCTGTTTATGCAGGTTGTAAGTTCGTATTAAAATACATTAAAAAGCTTTGAAATAATCAGTAATGGCCTGTAATCTTATGGTCCTATATAAACATTAAGAATTTGAAAAACTTACTTAGTACTGTGGTTTTATTTGACATATACCTACCTCTCTATTTAGCTGTAATCCCAGATACACTAGAAAGGGATGTTTTTTGAAGTTTAGCTGGTAGACTTTGCATATTTAGCTCATTTGGAAGAGGACTGTATGTTTATGGCAACACATTTACATCTGTAATGCATGACATGCATAAAATCTTCTAGCTAGGTGGCACCATATGTCAACAAACTTTATGTGAGTTTGAATTCATGTTTCTGATGCTGCCGTTGAAATAGAGTTGAGTTTCCCAGGATGTTTTTTAAAACCAATCCAGAGTTTCTATAACAAATTGAGAAAATGAAATGTATTTGTTCTCAATGCATCACAGGATCTTAAGGAAACACTGAAGACTGATTTGCAATTTATTTTTTCCTCTAATAACTGCTGTATCAAAAATTGTGTTGAAGTAAGGATACTTCAGGAGCAATGGTAAGAGAAATCAGCCTAGTTCTGTTCTTTCACAGGATAGAAATTTGTCAGTGAAAACAAAGAATTGTCTAAATAACTGTGAAATGTATCTTTTTTTTAGACACATCACCAGTATCATGCTTTAGCACAGTCATCTTCAGCAGCAAAGGGAATGTTGAGATTGTATTGCACACATTTGCAAACATCTTTGTAAACAGACGTTCAGCATCAAGCAGCTGTCCTCCACTGTCTGAGGCACACAAGTACAGGGACAGAATTTACATGAAAATATTAGGAATAAATAAAAAAATATTTCTAATCTGCCTCCCTTGCTATTTATTTTAAAAAAAGAGTAAAGAAAAAGCACAGGGACATTTTTAAAGGCATGTAGTTCTTTGCTTTCTGGCAGATAAATTGATATGACAAGAGATTAATGCAGACAAGACCTGAACAGCTGACCAGCAGAAATAACCTGATTTCTCCACCCCTACATTCCAGAGTGAATGGTTGGTCTCTACCACTCCACTCCTGTTTGAGTGTGTTGCTTTGCTGCTTTTTATCTACCTGGCTGCAGTAGGATTTGGAGTCTACACACCCTTACTGCCACATGGATGGAAATACGCTGTTTTTTCTCTGCCTTTTTTTCTAACCTTCTACCATCTTGCTTGAGATATGTTTTATTATAAATGCAAATCTGTGTCCAAATAAGGAGAGGACAAAACCCCACACACCTCACTAATTACGCTACAAGTAAGGGCTAGGGCATCTCCAAAGGAATGACATTTATTCCCAGTGAGTTTAAACCCTCGCTTGAATGTTATAGAACTGGGTTTATGTAGATTAGTTGGGTTTATGTTGGTTTCCATCTTGCAGGAGGGTATGTGTGTACATAACTCTGTGTGTGTACCTATTAGAGTTAATAATGTTTCAAAAGGTCCTTTAACTAGGTGGTGGGTGGAGGAAAAGGGGCATGGAGTGGGAGAAGGAGAAAAGCCACCATTGTTTGGAGGCAAGGAGACAATGCGTTGCAGCTGAATAGTTTTTCCTAGACTGATAAAAAATGACTAGTACATGTCCTAACCACAGAAAGTACCCTCTTGTATAGAAATGCTGGTCTTTGAACTAGTAAAACAGGCTACTTTTTGGGGGGAGGGGAGCTTTATTTTTAAAATCATGATTGTTTCAGGTACTGGAAAAATAATATGCTAGGAAGAAAGCATATCTTTACATGAATTAAAAAAAGTTATCTTCACTGTGCACACTTTCACTACCTACTCGATAGCCCAGGTAGCAATGTAGGAAAGAAATGAGTTCTAAGTAGCTGTTGTTCCATCACTTGACTGCAAGTGAGGGGTTGTGTTGCTCACCAAGAATCTGCAATAAGCAAGGGCACAGGTGAAGTTCCTCCTCCACCTATTTGATAAAGGAAACAAATATACAAAGCATAACTCCATGCATCTCCTTGACTGCCCATCATGGTCCAGGTCTCTCTACTCATAGATGTCAGGGTATCCTACAGTAATACCATGAACAGGTGGTTCTGGGCTGCCATTATGTTCTTGGAATGCATTCAGTGCCCCTTTGCAGGAGTAACATATGACAATCCAGGTATGATGCCATTGTTACTAGGGATTTATTATTGGAAATAGAAAATTTGATGAAACATTCTTTATATGTAGTGCTTTGGCTCACAAAGAGTTTGAATGATAAGACTGGATACTATTTTTTCAGGGAAAAACCCTCAGAAGCAGCCTTATGAAAAGCAGAATGTCCAGCTCTTTATTTGCTTATGGGGCACTTGGTCCATTGCAGGATTAATAATCAGTGAATCTGTAATGGATTTATGAACTAACACTAACTTCATTTTTAGAAGGGTCAACTTGGATAACATGAAACACCTTGTAAAGTGATTGCTTGTTCTTTGGTAATTCAGTATATTACAGAGCACGGCCTGAACTTCTGCATTATGTCCAAATAAGATTCTTTTTCACTTTACATGGGAGAGGGAGAAAGGTTTAACAGCATAATGAGAAACAAAACACTGATAGGCAGTATTTAATCCATTTTTTTATGTACAAAACATAGATTGTTGCTAGGAAGTGCTAGGGTGTCAATGGAGCACTCTTATGACAGCACCATAATTCTTGTTGAAACAGAGCTTGAGTAGTCAGCACAGCTGTAGGTCTCACGCCTAAGTTTTTTCACAATGTGTTTAAGAAAATAGTCTACTAATTGTGCCGCTTCTTTTTCTTCTTTTGAAAAAGAAAGAAAAGTCTAACACACACTGGAAAAAACAGGATGCTGATGAATGCCATGCTTTTATATCTGAGTAATTAACAGCCTCGCTGAAGCTCTGATGTGTCTGCAGTCCTGTTTTTTCAATCATGTGCATCCTCTGTATTATCAGTTGAGGGCTGGTGCTTTAACTATGTAATGTCCCACAACAATTTGATTAGTCTTTATGTTGAGAGGAGCCACAGTCACAATACCATGTATCACATAACCTATGCTTTGTGTAAGTTTGAGTGAAAGAAGCTAAATCCATTATACATTAATGTCTGCTTTGTATTGAAAATGTCATAAAAATCTACAAATTAAGATGGATGTGAATGACTTGTCTGTGAAACGCGTTAATACAAGTACAGTTGCATTTATTACGCAGGAGAGATCTAGGAAAGGAAGACAGAGATCTGTAACCCAGTAGCGTGCTGCATTTCTTGCTCAGGAATTCTTCATTGAGGTGACAGATCCGGTGGTCCATTCAGATGTCTTCACATTTCTCTCTCTCTCTGGAGGACGAGATAGGTCTAAGCTAGGAAGACTTGATGAATCCTACTAACTGTTGTGAAGCCTGATTTTGATGCTGTTTTCAAAATATAGTTGTTACATACCAAAGCTGTAGAATGTAGTAAGAGGCTTTGATGTTAACACTAGTAAAAGTATAAAAGAAAATGCAGCCAAAACAGGCATTTGTCACCTATTTAGCAAAGTGTTTTTATGTTCTAGTTGACAGAAGGATTTGAATATAAGAAATATTGAGACTCTTCTTTTTTAGTCTTAAATTTTTGCCTCCCTTAACAGATATTTGAAGAGGCAAAGTCCTAAAACTGGTGTATCTCTGCATTGTTCCTTTCTGAATTAGATTTTTTTCATCAGCTTAGCTGCTCTTCTGTTTCTGATGAAGAATAACTTTGCCTAAACATCATAGGAAATAATTGCATTTGGGCACACAATGAGACTTCCTGGACTGGTGAAGAAAACACACCTTCCCATTGTCCTTTTGTTGTGTCAGTGAGCAGTCATTCTCTTCAAAATATTGGCAATTGCTGTCATGGTAACAAAACAAAAACATGGTGTGGCAACTATTTTCAGCATTGCACATGTGATATCTCTTCTGACTGTAAAACACTTCAGTTTTCAACCAGGACAAGAGGTGTCCTCTAGTTTAAACCCAGCACAGACAGATCATTTTTTCTGAGCAGTGGTCCAGGTGTGTGTGTGGGGGGGTTGGAGTATTTTTTTGGTTTGTTGGGGTTCTTTTAGACAGTTGTGTAGCAGGTGAACTTTTAGAGGTGAGAGGGGAATGACAGACCCACCAGTGCAAAGTAATCAACTTGTTTCTTGTAGATACTTTGCACTAGTCCTGAACACCTCTGCAACGATCTAACTGGCACGGGGTTGGCACTGACGTTCTGGGGGCTCTGGCAATAACCAACCTAGCCCTTGTGTCCTTCAGCACAAGAAGAACCAAGCAACAAACTAATACAGGATCTTCACAGACACTGGTGGTCACATTGCAACTTCTGGAAAAAAGCTTCCTCACATGACTGTAGCAAAACAGCCAAGAAAATAGTGGGAAGGACGGTGAGATAAGCTGGCAGGGAGGGAACGCCTCTGTGAAGAATGGGGGCAAATTATGACCCAAGAGTTGGACAGCTTTCATGTGTGACTTTTTTCTTGGGCTTCTGCAATAACAATTTAATGGTAATGCGCTTTTTTTCTCTGCCTTCTCTGCACCAGCTAACAACGACTTGAAAGAATTACAAAGATCACCCCGTAACATCCAACTCTGAGGAAGACAATTCATGTACTTCTGGATATTAGAGAACATTTTATTGTAAATGATTGTTTTAGGATATAATTCTACTGACTTGGGGAAGAAGATGGAGCTTGAAATTCATTTTAGACTGCAGATTTATTTCCTGTTCTGAGGAAGGCATGCTGACCTTGTCACATTTGGATTTGATTAAAGGGAAGAGGCTTCAAAGAGGTGAAAGAAAGATAGTACTGGGGTTTTAATTAGTTCCTAATAGTATTCATCACATTTTTAATTCGCATAATTCTGTGGCATGTCACATGCTACCTAAAATCTGAGGAAGGGCGGAGAGTAATATTTGGCTTTCTGTCAGTAAGTATAAAAGCATTTGAAAAAAAATATTTTCTCCCTTTGTAATATTGAAAATACACTCTTGCCAGTTGAGAGGGGAAGGTGTAAAATGAACATAGGTCTAACTTGCACAAGAGAAAGACAAGCTATTCTAGCTGATGTTTTTCCTCTTCCCTTACGATAGTGAAGCTCTTACCAATAAAACAAATATTTTAAGTCATATGATACAAAATTCTTAGAAGGGGTATGTACTTCATCAGTTTGTTTTCCTTTGAGTGACAGTTTGTCGCTAAAACACTTGATGCCTTCTTAACTTGTTTTAACACAAGTCACCAGTCTACTTTTTCTTCATCGCCTTAACTTTCTCACCTTGTAGGCTACTACAATTGACCCAGCAGTGCCAAATGTGCTAAGAAAAACTTGAATAAAGCTGTTCCAGTCTTTGACAGAAATAAACATAAACATGACATCCAGAATCAGCATTTGCATCTCTGCAAAGCCGATGTGTCAATTATTAGAATAATAATAACAAAATTATAACAACAACAACAAAAAAAAGAACAAATAAGCTCTGGGTTTTAGGGGGAGGGGATGGGTTTTTCTGATTTTTTTTTTTGGTGGCTTGGCCATAGTAAGAAGACTTGCTGGTCTTTCCTGCATGTACTGTCATTATACATTTAAAATTCCATATCTTTTATTAGAGCAACCTTTTACTAGAATTTATAAACTCATCAGCAGACACAAGGTATTCTGCTTTTAAATGTTTAAAAGTGCTTTTCTTAAAACAATTTTGCTGTTTCAAGGAACAAAATTGATTAAAGCATTGTTTCTACCTATGCTATGGATCCCTACAAACTTTTTTTTTTAAAGTCTGTCACACTGTGTCTTACATGTAGAATTAGGCCATTACAATATCAAGAAGGTACCTTTTTCTGTCTGCCTTGAACCTTGCTCAAATTTAGTCATATTTTTATCATACTTGTTAAGCTAAGGCCAAATTCCCAAATATTACCTGCATTGAGAATATTTTTCACCTTCCTACAGTTACCACACAGTATCTTTGCTGACTTCCTCCCGATTTAGTCAGTGTGATGAGGACCCATAGGAGAGGGCCTACTGCTTTCCCTCCCCATAGCCACCGAGGCAGTAAGGAGAAGAACAGATCAATATATATTGATTGAAATATAGATAAGGAACTGAAATGGGGAGAGTCTGTGACTCTAAGCCTGTTATAAGATTGATAATATAGTGCACAGTAAACAAGTCTTTCAGTCTCCGAGATGTTTGTCTATTATATTCAATTAAAATATTTTAAATGGGGGTTTTTTTTCCTCATTCCTTTTCAGGCAGCCAAAAGCCAAGCGCTTGCAATAAGTGTGTTTCAGACTTTGATGACCACTGTAAGTGACTGAATAACTCTGTGGAAGTCAGAAATTACTTGGGTGTGTTTTACAATGAGCGAGAGATGCTCTCTTTTTTTCCAGTGGTCGTCTGGATAATATCTCACTTCTTGGCAGCGCCAAACATATTCACTGCAAATCAAACAATACCATCAGCCTTTTTTCAGTAGTTTATAAAGAATTCAGCTTTGAAATTTTCACTTCCTTTCCACATAAAGGTCAGGAATTTCCAGCTCACAATTGTGCTTCGTTTGTTTCTAGTCTATCTGTAAATACCATTGAGTTAGGTACCAACTACTTTGATTTCTGTTTGGTTTAGAATAACATTCACTCATCATTGGGTTTTGGAGTTAGTTGTTCCGAAAACCAGGGACTACATAACTGACTTGGAAGCGCAAGAAAAGCGATCTGATGCAATTGCTTCTCTTCAGGTAAGTTCTGAATTCAAAACGTTGTGTTTTCCCTCATCCCTCTAGTCTTGCAGATGGGAACAGGCTTGGTATTTCTGATCTAGCATGGCTGCCTGTTCACCCTGCTAAGCGAAACTCAGTACCTCGTGAAAACACACGGACTAGCAGAACCCACGCTGGGTTTGCATTCCAGGAGCTCACAGTCATCCTAGCCCAGTTCTGTACATATCCTGGCGAGAAAGATAGTGGGGTTTACTTGCCATGGTATGAAATATATTGAACAGGCATGTGTTATGATGTACCTCCTTCACTAGCTGAGCATTTTTCTTGCACTATACAAATACTTGTTCTGTCTCATTTTCTGGAAGATATATGAAAATATCTTCAAAATAATAATAGTAGTCCTGGAAGTGTGCAAATCTTCAACTACAATTTTTTGAAATGTTTTTAGATCTTATCTTTAACATGACTGCAGAAGAAATATGAAATTTGAACTTCTAATTTTAGGTAAGCTGAGTGTTGAATGGATGTAATATAACAAAGCTAAAACCAACTGCTTGTAATTTAATCTATTTATTTTGTTTATATAAAGAAAAATTGGAAAATATTCTGTATTCTATTCTGTTAGTGTGCCTGATACCAGATCTAAAAATTTATATGTACAGGGCTCATTCTTTAAAATATTAAGCCTCCTGAAATACCTATTGTATCGATTATGCAGATATTTTCTTGAAGATCCGAGTTTGTCTTTTTTTCACTCAACCGAAGAATGCTAATTTAATAAAGAAAAAATATCACATTCTCTGAAATGTCCATTGCCAAGATTTGTATGAAATGCAAAACAGTTGAAATTGGTATCTTACATATTCTATGTGTTACTTGATCTTTTTTCTGCTAATGCTGTAAACAAAACCCTGATCACAGTGAAGATGATTTGACTTAAGTGGAGGCAAAATTCCAGCAGGTATCTAGAATTCTCTTTTCTGTCCTATCTATCTATTGCCAAACTATGAATGGTAAGAGGAAGCTCGTCAAAAGAATTTGAAACAAGCCAAGAGAGAGAGGAGGACAAGACGCTGTGTAAGGAGCCTGTGATAGAGGAAACAGGGCAGGGCTCGGGGCTGCTGGTGAGTTAAAAGCTGGACCTGCGCCAGCAATGTGCACTGGCAGCCCAGAAGCCAACCGTATCCTGGGCTGCATCCAAAGCAGCGTGGCCAGCAGGTCGAGGGAGGTGACTCTGCCCCTCCACTCCATTCTGGTGAGACCCCACCTGGAGTCATGCGTCCAGCTCTGGAAGCCCACAGCACAGGAAAGACATGGACCTGTTGGAGCGGGTCCAGAGGAGGCCATAACAATGATCAGAGGGATGGAACAGCTCTCCTGGGAGGACAGGCTGAGAGAGTTGGGGTTGTTCAGCCTGGAGAAGAGAAGGCTCCAGGGAGACCTTATTGCAGCCTTCCAGTACTTAAAGGGAGCTTCTAAGAAAGATGGGGACAGACTTTTTAGCAGGGCCTGTAACGCTAGGACAAGGGGTGATGGTTTTGAACTAAAAGAGGGTGGATTTAGACTAGATATAGGGAAAAAATTTGTCACAATGAGAGTTGGGAAACACTGTCACAGGTTGCCCAGAGAGGTGGTAGATGCCCCATCCCTGGAAACATTCCAGGTCAGGCTAGACGGGGCTCTGAGCAACCTCATCTAGTTGGAGATGTCCTGGCTCATTGCAGGAGGGCTGGACTAGATGACCTTTAAAGGTCCCTTCCAACCCAAAGATTCTATGATCCTATGATACTATGCCTTGGTCATCACGTTAAGTCTGACTCATTTTTCTTGTGAGCAACCAGATGGCATTTCTTCCTCACTGCCTGGCCTCCACCTCAGGAGAGCAACAGTTGCCTTAAAGTAATAAAAATCTGTAGTTGACCATTATTTAAAGAATTAATATTTGAAAAATTCAAACAATGCGTTGTGTGGATCAGTGAGTCTGTGGAAAGTGATTGATGCTGTTATAAAAATCATAGGAGGGAAAGAGAGAAGAAAAAAAAATAAATACTTTAGTACAGTCAGTACCAATTGTTCAAACAGTGGACATTCTCCCCTTTCTGCCATGCTGTGCAAAGGCAGAGCTGAAACTATTTTATTGGAGTTTGTGAGATCCACCCATTTTGACACTTGGAAGTGAAATAGCAGCTCCCCAAATTTGTTTGAGAGCTTGTGGATTTGTATACTTCCTTGGACGTGTTTGGACCTCTGCTCACACTACATTGAGTGGTGTGCCTTTTGTTGCGTATTTAGCAAACATTTAGCAAAACTGAGTTAGCAATACAGTGCTGGAGAAAGCTGGTTCCCTTTCTAGGTCACCTCTTTGCTTTGTCATTTTGGTTAATCCATGTAAGTGGCTCTGAAGTTAAATATCTGCACCCTTAAGTGGGTATACGTAAGGTTACATTTTGAAATTCTGGACAACAAACATTGCGCTCTGTTTATCAGCCTCAGACAGGTTCTACCTTTTGGGAGCCGTGGCAGATCTTCCAATAAATACATTTTAATACCACTGTATACTAAATGAAGTGCTGACAAAGGTTCTTCTTCTGTGCTTGGAGAACAATCTGAAGCTTGTGATATTTTTAGAAGTTTTGTTTTATTGGGGTTTTTCTGCCACCTCTAGAGCCAGAGTTCTGAGAGTCTTGTTATTTTCTGGGTATTAAACTACAGTGTGAAACCTGTCCCATTGAACTCATGCAATACAGGTTAAACTGCTTCTGACATAAGACACATAGAAAGCTTGTGATATCATTCCTGATGAATGAAATTACTGCATAATTTTTGGAGGACTAACACTTCATTGCATCTTTTAAAACAAAGTTAAATACTCTGGGTCCTGACAATGAATGAAATAACAGTCTAATTTGTGTGCACAGGCTTTCTTAACCAGTAATGTGTAGCTTCTGTTTCAAATTATTTGCCTTTACGTCCTTTAGGTCCTCTCTTTTAAGGTGTTTCCATTGTCTTAGGGCTTGGCCAATATTAATGAAATATAAATATTTATACTGGCCTTTGAATTGTTAACTGACTCAAGCAATAGCTTAGCAACAGAGATAACACAGGAGGTTATCTCTAGCATTCTGTTCTTACACCCTACTTTGCTGCCAGAAATGCTAGGAAGGGCTTCAGAACAAATCATCTCCTTGCCCATTCTGGTGTACAGGGACTAGAACATTGTTGAATTTTACTACTAAACAAACTGGCTTACATTGAACTATCATGCTTTTCAGTAATATTCCTGTTGTACTTCAGGATGGTCTTGTAACTTAAGAATGAACTGAGCTGATAAAGTTAAAACATCGTGGCTGTGATGAACACAAAAATGCTTGTTGATATTTGTACCAAATTATAATGCTGTAGACATAATTTTCTAGCAGTCTAAGTTAGCAGATCACCTTGGACTTGCTGTTACCTGAAGCTCTGCAGAGGTGTGTGGGTGGATCTTATGTCAGTATTTGTAGTAGCTCTACATACTTCAGACAAAGAATAATGCAAATATGTTGCAATAATTCTCCATTTTGAAGTTGTTCTTTTGCTTCTCTTTTCTTTGTGGACTTTTTAAAAAGAAACCAGGTATGTCTATAATTCCCATTAATACTTTTTTAACTGATGGAAAAATATAGCCATACTTTCTTGGTATGGCTTTACAGATTGATCAGAGAAACACATTTAATTTTCTAATAAAAAAAATAGGACCTTTTTTTTTTTTTATTTTTCTAATTAAAAAACCACCTATACCCAGGAGGTAGATATCAGTATCTTGATACGCTTGAGTTGTGCTTTCTTGGAGTATTCACTCTGAATCTCCCTTAAAAATTAAACACCATCTGCACTAACTTAAAATAGCTTTGCACTGTTACGCACTCAGATATTATTATGGTAACACAGAGATTTATCTCATTTGCAATATACAGTCATGCCAGATATTCTGCAACATCTCTTTGTCTGAATGGTAAGATGGATTGTCGTTTTCTAGTAGACAGTTGCTAGGATAATTCTGACAGGAAGCCAGCAGAACAAGGTTATGGCTAGTAGCCTGGTACCAATGTAAGTAGGTAGAATTGTGACTAATATACCACTTGGAGGAAACCTTTTTCTCCTCTCAAGTAACGGGGTGGTACTTCCGTAGTCAGGCGCTAGGACTGGTTATGTCGACTGTTCGACACAGTGTTATCTAATTACAGATCACTCAGCCTTGTCTGTCTAGTTTAGGTATTTCTAGAGGCCCAATGACTTTGGGCTTTTGCAAATTGTCAAGCGGCCTCACGTTACCGTCCTTAGCTGGCACTGCTGGTATTCTGAACGTCTGAAAGTCAAAAAGGCTAGTGCAGGTTCTTAGCTAGATTTCATTTCATGCTCTGCAGCTCCGATTTAGAAACTCTGTCGGTGTTCTGGTAAGTGTAACAATTTTTTTCTCTTGTTGGCAAGTCTAATGTTTGCTGACCCTACAGATTTTATCAGCTAGTATCTCTTGAGACTATAACCGCTGCAGTGCAGATCGTGGTGGTTGCAGTAAAGCAAACAGACAAATGTTCAATTTACTACCTGCAGACCACAGCCCCTAAATGATGATTAGAAAACCAAGAAAGGTTGTTGTGTCTTTCAAAGGCATTTGCTCGCTCTTGGGTTGCTACATGTCATAAATCTGGATTGCCTATGCAAATGGTTTAGGTATTACTAAACCGGGACCACTCCTCACTCATAATACTGTAATTGTTTCTAAGTAAAAATGTTTTCCACCTAGAAATTCAATCTTGTAGTCTTAAGTAGAAAGCTAAGGGAAAACAACTTGCCATTAGGGGGATTGTATGAAATCAGGCTGAAATGTGATGTCTCTTGGAAATTTCTAATGTTCTCTTCTAGTGCTTTGAGGATTCAAGAATCAAGCTAGTCCCCAATAAAAGAGCAAGTGTCAGCTGTACCAAAGCTTCAGAAATTTCCTTGGTTCCTTTACCAGTTTCTTTCTGAGTCTTCAG